ATTATAGGCAGCCCTTAAATTCCAATAAGGTTACGCTCTTCGGGCCCTCGTGTGAGTGTTGTCACGCTTTGTCCCTTTGTTGTTTGTTGTTTACACGCCATTTGTCTCCGTTGTTTTGTTGTAGAGTGCTCAGTCAATGTCATTGAGACAGAATTGAGTTTGTTCGTAATTTAAGATTTTTTTTACTTTTAATTTGTAAGTCATACTTATAAACACTGAAGCTTCATATTTTTCGTTTTTTAATAGAAATTACAAACTTTATCAAAATACCTACTATTATAAATGTTTGTTACTCGTTCACGTAGAAACGGCTGGACGGATTTGGATGAAGTTTAATTCATCGATGAACATTTATATATGACCTGGACTAACACAGGCTGCCTTTAGGAATAAAATTTGGCAAAAGTTGGTGCAACCTTTACATAATATCTATACATGTAATAAAACTGTAGAGGTCGAATGTCTGCACATTGAAAAAATATGCTAAAAACCGATGTAAGAAGAGAAATAGAACAAATCCATTTTTTTTACAAAATTTTTGTTTCTCTGTCTGTTTGTCTGTTTGTAATTGTGATAAAATTTTGCATGGTAGTACCTTATATCCCCCGTCAACATTTTAGTTGCTTTTCATCTCGTAAAATTAAAGAGTACCCGTGGGATAGTTAAAAAACTATAGTAACTTATACAGCTTAGTACACAAAAACTACTGATTGCATTTTAATAAAACTTTACAATAATATAGTTCATACATCAGAATAACAAATAGGCTACATTTTATCCCGGAAAAATGTACGATTCCCGTGGGATAGATTTATTTTTGTTTGTCTAGAGGCGAACTCGAGCTAAGTGATAGTGAGCCGCTAGTTATAAATATAAATGCACGTAGGAGCGCACCCGAACTAAGTAAGGATAAGTCAATAGTATTAGCAGTACTAGAGTAATATATCTCGAATAACTAAGCAAGTAAGTTAGTTCATAAACTATTTACAATTAAGTTTACGCAATTACAATAGAAAAAGCCAAAATATTTGTTTAGCATATTAAAAAAGTTCACCTCTCATAATCATAAAAGTTGTCACATTTCACCATCACTGAGTTCGGAAAAAGTGAAGATCCAGTAGTGAGGAGAACTGGTAAAAAACACTAAACGCAACTATATATAAAACTAAAATATAATGAAAAAAAAAACAAGAAGCTTATAAAATTAAACGATAACTGCTACAAAATATATTTTCTATTTATATGGCACTTGTTACAAAAATACCTATATAATCAGAACTGAAAACACTGTCGGACCGAAAATTTGATACCATTTAGGGCATTTAGCGAAACGGTATGTTACTGACGTAATCCAATATGGCGGACAGCTGTGCCTTTTTATATTTTTCGGGCGAATTATCACCGACACGGCGAGGATGCGAATCAAATTGAAAGCCGACTCAATTATATTACTACGTGTAGGGCTGCCTGGTTATACATGCATATATTTATAATAAGCCTTCTTATCCTAATATTCAATAAATATATAATTATTTTAATTGTAAATAGATACTAAAAAACGTACCCGCACTTAGCCAGCGTGGTGGACTATGGCCTGATCCCCCTCGTATAAAACGGAGTCCCGTGCCCAGCAGTGGGACTTTAAAAAGGGCTGAATACATACATACAAAAAAAACACATTTTAAACTAGCTATTTAGCCTTGCTTCCCTCGGGTGCGTCACAACACTACCAGTCACGTCTGTCTGTGTACCAAATTTCATCCAAACCCGTCCGACGCTTTAGCGTGAAAGAGTAACATAGACTAACATACGAACTTTGACATTAATAATGGTAGACTAATTTTAAAATTTATTGAAAACTCGATAACCATTACACTCACAGGTACTTAAGAGCATATAATATATTCATATGAGCTTAACACTGACAAGATCGTAAACATTAACGACTCAAAAGCTTGTAAAAGTTTGTTCGAATATAATATGTTTTGATTTGGAATAAAAGAGAGTTAATCTAAAGAAAGCACTTCTATAACGTAAAACTGTTCCTCTTATATAAAATTGTCTTAAATTAAAACTGTAAAAATCTAATCCAATTTGCTGTATTCTTCAAATCACTCAAGATATGGTCTAGGTAACCAGCTTAGCCACTTAGCTAACGCGACATCCCTAATCCCAGGGCATAGAGGGGGGTACGTAATACCATTTCGAGATGAGCGACTTAAACGCGTTACAGACCGCCAGTGTATACTGGCCTCCAGCATCTGGTACATTAGGTAGAGTAAGAAGAATAGTGACACTTTCTTAATATCTTAAAAAAATCTTTGTATTCTGTCCTCGTTTTGCTATTAACGATTGTATATTTTTATTTCTATATGCATTATTCCATATTACACTTTTTAGAGAGGTAGGTAAAATATATATTAATAAATATAATAAATTTATTTACCGACTTTTAAGCCGATGCACTACGTGACTCAACCCATGCAAAGTTGGGTTAAAATTGGACGTAAATTTATATATAAATATATAATATATATAATTTTTTTATTTATATATATTATATACATAATTGATTAATTAAAAGAATAAAATAACCTCGTACATACAGCTTAATGGAAAAGTTAGTGCTCTGATTCCCTTAGGTATGTTAAATATGAGAATAAAATCGATGTTTTTGCATCCAATATAATTTAAAAAAATAAATAAATTAATAAAATAATTCGATCAAAATAATCCATTTTGAATTAATAAGAAACGTTTAATAGTTAATACGTATTATATAATATGTCAAAAGTAATATATATGTATGTCATAATACAAAGATCATGTAACACTGGTCACCTTCAACTGTACTGTTTCGTGGTTTGGTCAATCAAGTGTATTTTGACAATACCAGTTAACTAATGGATATCGAAGTTGGACGATATTGGATCGACTAGTTTCGCTGAGTGCACTTGTTTGGAGAGCAAATTGACGGGTGACTGTTTTATATGAGTTTGATATGATATTCGCTTTATATTAATACTTTTGAATCGAATTTCAAATATGTTTTGTGTTTATGTTGAATTTATGTGTGTAGCTCTTTTTATGTATATCTATTTATATAGGTAACTAGCATTGCCCGCGGCTCTGCCCGCGTTCAGATGACCAAAAACCAAATTCTTGGGTTTTACATACCTATTATTATTATTAGTGTTGAGTGTGGTGCCGAGGTCGGCCCTAGCTACGTCGACCAGTTTTGGTCCATTATAGCTAACATACCTATTAGTATCTTACATTACAGTTTTTGTATTTTTTCTCAGAAATAAGATATTTTCCCGCGGAAAAAGTATCCTACATGTTGACCCGGACAGCCAGCTATCACCATAACAAATTTCATCAAAATCCCTCTAGTGGTTTTTCTGTGATGCGGTAACAGACAGACATAGTAGACTCATGACGTTCAGTAAAAAATTGTAATAATTTAAAGCTGAATAAAATATTTTGAATTTTTGAACAGACAGACAGACAAAAATTCTAAAAACTATATTCGGCCTCTGTATCCATAATAATGTATATTTCAATAAGATTTTCCAAAAAATATCTAATGTACAGATTCGGCTTGTAAATATATAAATTAGTACAATATGTAACTTGACTCCTACACTATTCAATTGTTATTATATTATTGTAAGCATTTTAATTTCTGAAGTGCACCACATTCATCTCGCATTAAGCTAACCTCTTAGAAATCGTAAAGCGTTACCTAAAGCCATTACCATTCAACTGATTTCCGAGTCACATTCGACGCCCATAAAACGTGTACGATAGGCGAGCCACTAAATTGCAGCTTTCGCGTGTTCTGCCGTCGGAATTGCGCAATTTTTACTTGAACATAAATAAAACAGCGTGCGTCGGGCAATTTGACTAAAACCGGGCGTGACGTTGCCGCCTCTAACCGGTTATATCCGGATGAAACCAAAATGTTACCTAAATTATGTATTTTGGGTTCTTAAGTTTGTAAATGGGTGCTGCTTTGTGACAGCCCAAGGATACATGAATAAATGAAAGTGTTAAGATTACAAGAGTTAGGCACTAAAAGATTGAAAAAATTGGAGTGAGTAGTAAAGTAGACATGCCATTTTTTAAAGAAAATGTGATGAAAAAATAATGTTCGAATTTATATATGTAGCTTAGAAAATAAAACCGCCAATTTACTAGCGTGAACAGAACGCTGCCGTCACAACCAATGACACTCGAGCGATGTAATACCGACTACCGTCTGAACTACGTAAATTTTCTTACGTATGCATAAATTTACCTTTTCATACATATTATATGCTTTATTATTTACATATATGTAGTAAACAAAAAAGCCACACTTTGTTAGTGAATTTTTACTCTTTATTTATAAGTGCTTATAATTTTATACCTACCTACGTTTGTATTTCTTTTACGCACGATAAAGAAAATCTGTCTTTTTTTGTATAGTGCCAATTAAAGACCCGAAAAATTAAAATATACTACTTTTTTTCAGCTACATCTTATTGTAGCTATAAGTAGCAAAGGGGTTGTTTATAATTTATACAAATAAATAAAATCGAAGTGGCTGTTTATAATGTCAAAATAACAGCGTTTTACTTAAAGCATATGAAATTATATACGGTAAGTACTTATAAGAAAAATTACATTTTTTTATTTTTTTTGTGTCTGTCTGTTTGTTCCGGATAATCTCTGAAACGGCTGGGCTGATTTTGACGGGACTTTCACTGGAAGATAGCTGATGTTATAGGGAGTAACGTAGGTTACTTTTATTTTAGAAAAAGAATTAGGGTTCCGCTCAAAAAAATTAAAACGTACCTACCTAGAGACGAACCCGAGCGAAGCGAGGGTGAGTCGCTTGTATATAAATAAAAATCTAAAGTAAAGTGTTGCAAGTCAAGTCCTAAAAATATGTATGAAAATTTCCACACATAGAGAGATATTTCATAGAATTAAAATGGTGTAAGGCAAAATCCTACCTGCACTCTCGCTTCAGTGAGGTTAATTTTGAGCGCGAGATCCTCCCGTGTAAACACGTCAGGATAATGCGTTTGTGCGAAGGCTGTCTCCAACTCTTCAAGCTGTTGGAACAGACATAACATTAGTGTTATTTATTTATAATATATTTAAGTGTATGTACCTATGTGTGTATCAGAAAATATCTATTAATATTATTTATTTGAAAAGCGGAGATTTTTTGATATTCAGAACTCGAGAGAATACTTGATGAATTGTAGTTTTATATTAATAATACTTTAATATAATAATAATAATCCATGAACTTATGTAATTTTTTTATTATAATTGTTCGACACTCCAAGCGACTCTTACGGCGGCTAGCCTATATCGAAAGACAGAGACGGGGTGCTATATAAATCGTAATTTTAGTAAATGTGTTTTGTGAACAACAGAACTCATGGTATGAAAAACTAAAAAAAACTTAGATTTATATATTTATTTATTTTCTAACTTTTACCTGTTGCAGCGTAAAGGTAGTGCGATTTCGCCTTTGCTTCCGACGGACGAACGTGTCATCGTGTATCGCCGGATGATAGGAATAGCTTGTATCTGTAAATACAATATTATTATTTTTAGGCTGCCACAATCCATTCATTATGATTAAAGTCATTTTCTTAGATTTTATCTCCTGATACAGGCTTTTAGTGATATTGTATTACTAATATTATAAATCTGAAAGTTTAGATGAATGTTTGGATGTTTGTTACTCAATCAGGCCAGATCGGCTGAATGGATTTGGCTGAAATTTGGCATAAAGATAGATTATAGTCTGAAATAGGTAATAGACTACTTTTTATGTCGGAAAAATGTGCGGTCCTCGTGGGATAGATTTGTTTTTTGTTTTTCTAGAGGCGAACTCGAGCGAATATATACATAACTTAAGAAAACTATAGAATATAACATAAAATATCATTATATATAACTTATGAAGCAAGATTAAAAGGCTTTTTGGAACATAATTACAAAAATAACATCCCAAATTACAATATGAATGCATGGTGGCTATAAAATAGCGTAAGTCCGGAAAGACCGGGCCATTACGTCGAAGTGCTAAATCGCCAGCGCCCCTCAGACATTATGTTAGAACGATAGCTCGGAATGAGGACATCATTGTAGGGTGCATATAGATTAGCCTTTATTACTGTTTAACCACTTGAGCGGGCTTGTGGATAATATTTTTAAGATGAAGTATATTGTTAATCGTGTTCGAGATGATTCATATTTATTTCTTTTTAAAAACTATGGTTATACCTATGATTTTTTAAATTATTTTAAGCTTCGTCTTTTATTTTATATATATTTGAAGTGCAAAATCATAAGATTCCTTGCATCATTCTTAGCTAAAAATTCATTTGAGACTTACTTTACATCATTCACCACATATTTTTTCCTAAGAGAAACTTGTGTTATGTTAAAATCCATAGATACAGAATAATTATTTGTCTTTATGTATATTTTTTTAAAAATAGTACTATAAAAGTATCTATTTAAGTAAGGTTAATTAAAACAAGTATTACACAAACCGGTGTCACCCTAGCGCAATAGAATCAATGACAAACGTTGGGGCGGTCCCCTCAGTAGCTTTTCTATTATTCTTACTCATAATGTCATTCCACCACGACAAAATTACCCTCAAAGCACGGGATTACAGCTGTCTTCGGAGTAATGACTTTATCACGTCAATTACTTGAGTACGATTTATCGAGGGTACTCGATAGAGTGTACGTGTCACCTATAGAGTATTTTTTTATATCTGTGTAGTTGATGTATTGATGGAAAGATAATGAAGGGCTACAATAATAATCTATACTAATATTATAAATGTGAAAGTTTGTGAATATGGATGTTTGTTACTCTTTCACGCCAGAACGGCTGAACGGATCTGGATGAAATTTGGCACAGACATAGATTATAGCCTGGAATAACACATAGGCTTTTTATCCCGGAAAAATGTACGGTTCCCGTGGGATACGTTTGTTTTTGTTTTTCTAGAGACGAATCCGAGTGAGTATCTATATAACTTAAGAAAATTGTAGTACCTATGTATATAAAATATCATAGTGTATAACTTAGGAAGGAGATTAAAAGGCTTTTCAGAACATAATTACGAAAATAACATCCTAAATTATTATAATAAAAACTTAAACCTTAATTTTTAATAAATTAAAAAAAAAGTTGTATAAACTGGCAACTACATAAATACATAAAAGTTAATGTACAGACAGGATTTGTTAATTAAATTTCAATATTGCTTTCCAATTGAGACCAAAACCAATCCGGACTGGTCATTTAAAACCTGGCTTAAATGAATAAACAAACGTTTTGTGAATTTTTGCGCGACTTCAAAGCTCCGGCCGCTTGGCTGGTAATGGAGTGAATTGATTGAAACGATTTATATATCAATGTGTATCATTTTATCAATTGAGTGTGTGTTGTTGTCATTATGTTTGTTTTTTTTTATTTTAATTTTATAAGTAGGTACTTCTCATGTTGTTGTTGTGTTCTATTTCTTTTGTAGGGTACAACTACGTATGCAAATATGCTTTACACACTGTAAATGTCCAAAATAATATTTCGCTTTTATTCTAATTTAAATATATCTAAATTCTAACTCTTTCTAAGTTCCTCCTTTAAGAATTTCTTGGATTTCATAAAACAAAAATTAATTTTTGCCATTACAATTCTGTGCTTACCCAAAGCGCAGATTACGAGATTGTTAATATTACATTAATTGAATATAAATAATGGAGCGTTCATCAGCTCAGAAAAATCCCTGGGCGGCGGAAATTAAAAAGTGTTCGGCTTCCGGCGGAACGGCCCGCTTTAAGTGCAGCGGGAAAGTTTGACCGCCCACGCCGCGACTCCATGCAACCAAATAATGCAGAGTGTATGGTATATTTTCAATAATTATTATAAGTATATTTTATATTATGAATAAGATCAAGTGGTCATATTTTTACTACAGATTGAAAATAAAATCGTATTATTATATTTCATGAAAATAAGTAAGTCTATAAAAATATTATAAAAATAACTGGTTTAAATTATTAACCATCGAGATTATTTTTCTAAATAGTGTCCTTCATAAATATGCAAAACATATTATAACATAGTAAAAAAACTTTGTATTCCATTCCAGCTCAAACTCTACCAAATAATGAGAAATTATCTCTATTATTAATATCTACAAAAAGAAAACTGTGTCGTGATCACACTTATAATATATATTAGGTGCTATGAAGTGAAGGTATCGTTCATATACGTAAAAGAGCCAAATCTATTAAACCTAGACAAAAAAGTACATCCAGTAATAAGGTGTCCATCGCACCCGTGATTGCGCTAATGAGACCGCCGTCCGAGCGCTACAAATTGCTCGTACATATTTAATAACTTCGTTAAGCCTCTTTTTATACCCACTTTTAAAACTTCCTCCACAAGCAATTCCTTAATAAATATTAAAAATTAATACATTTACGCAATTTGTGAGTCCGCCCGTCATTTTAATGGAGTAACTCAGTTAAGGTAGTAAAAAACGTGACGCGGCAGGGCTAATTCGAAGTGACATGATCCTTATTAAGTTAGTTTGGGTGTAACAGAGTTAGAGCGGCGGCGCGACTCAAAAACTATTTTATGAATAATAGATGGCGCCGGCGGCGACCAATCCCGGGGGAGCCACGCCCTTCCTCCCCACGCAGGCACCCCCTGCCTTCTATTCATTAGCACATTACCACCCCTTGGAGTTTGGACACGTGAAGCAGTTAGAAACTGATTTTTGCCACTTTAATTTCTTTACCCCGTTATCGCTAACTTAGCAACGAAGCGTACACTTAAGATTAGAGGAGACGATATCAAGCTTTTGAAATGTCAAGGTTTATTTGTACTTTATTCACGTACTATAAATATATGGGTTATATTCTTTAACATCACTTAAATTTGTTAAGTTTGAATAAAAGTAAAACTTTTCAACTAAAATTTACATTATTATCTATATATAAAAGTTACCTATATATTCCCAAAATAAGAGTAAACAAATAAGAAAATCATAACTTTCCTATACATACATAAGCTTCAATAAACAATATTAATTAATCAAAACTATACGAAAGAAAGCTCAAATTGAATAGCGAATTGAAACAAGAAGATGAACCGAGCATAACGCAGTTAGTCCGAGAACTGCGGCTGCTACAAATTCATTTAGGAAAGTTTGCAGACCTACAAGTGAGCTAATCGACGCTCTTGGACTATGCAATTACGTCTTGTAGTCGGAATTACATGTGAAATTGACTCCTAAAATTAAATTCTTTATTTCTATCTATCGATCAGGCATAGTAGTGGCGACATGTCGCGCACGACGCGAGCATTAGTACATGGGATTGGTTCGATTCTCATTTGGTTCAAATATTTGTTTAGAGTGTGCTGTATTTTAAGTTATATCGTATACATTCATAATATTTGAAATATTTAGATTTAACACGTAGGCACCTTCATGAAGAGAACATTTTTTGGAAAATTAGCCACTTAGCCACGTCTTGACTCCAATACTAAATTTACGTCTTATACAAATATATTTTCAATAATTAATCAATTTATCATGACTACTGATAGGACATATTCAAGTAAATTAAGGGCACTTACAAGGGTGTGAAGCGGTGAAAGGGTACTCCAGGGTGGGGAGGCGGTGCTGGTGCGGCGGCAGGCTTGGCGGGCAGTGGTAGCAGAACAGTCCACGACCGCCGGCACCGCCGCTCGCCAGCTGGGAATAAAAATATAGGTTAAATTTAGAATAAATTGGTAATTGGTAAACTATTTCGTAATAGTTATAAATATAATCTTACTACAATTATTAATGCGAAAGTTTGGATAGATGGATGTTTCTTACACAAATACGCCCGAAGGGCTGAACGGATCTGTATGAAATTTGGCATAGAGATAGTCTGAAATAGCAAATACATTAGATACTTTTATAGCATATAGGTTACTTCTTATCCCGGAAAAATGTACGGTTCCCGTGGGATAGATTTGTTTTTGTTTTTTATAGAGCAAGGAATCGACATGTAAAAATCTGCAATAACATAAGTTTTTCTGCTAGAGTACACTCGAAATAACGACTTAATACCTATTTAAAACGTACCTAGGGATGCATCCGAGCGAAGCGAGACTAGTATTTACTAAAATCTAGCCCTAGAAAACACAAAACATACTTGTATATTCATTCTGGAATTGTCAATTTATATCTATCTATATGAATAAAAATGAATGTTGGTAAGCGCATAACTCAAGAATTGCTGGACCAATTCGGCAATTTTTCTTTCATTTGTTGCTTAAGGTCCACGGAAGGTTTTAATAAAGAGAAAAAATGAAAAATTAACAAAAAAATATATTAAAATTTGTATGGCTAACGCTGACTAATAACTATTTATATCTATATAAAACGTACCCAGCGAAGAACTCGAGCGAAGTGAGGGTGAGCCGCTAGTTACTTATATTATTAAGATTATTTAATGAGAGTTTTAACTATGAAAATTGAAAATAAATCTGTTTTGATCTTATATTATATGATATCTTTTACTAAGTTTCTAGACTACTGCTTTGACTGCCTAATAGATAGATATATAAACCCAAACGTGATCCGGCATTCATCATATAAAAAAGTAATATTATTTTAAACTATTTAAAAAAACACATTAAAATCTATGGTAAGTAATGTATTCAGCCCTTTTTAACGTCCCACTGCTGGGCACGGGCCTCCCTTCAATACGAGGGGGATTAGGCCATAGTCCACCACGCTGGCCAAGTGCGGGTTGGCGGACTTCACATGTCTTTCGAAAACTTGCTAAGTTCTCTAAAACATGCAGGTTTCCTCACGATGTTTTCCTTCACCGTAAGACAAGTGGTAATCATGTTGGAAATGATTCGCACATGAAAATATCAGAGGTGCGAGACCCGGGATTCGAACTTGCTTCACTCGGTTTCCCAAGCGAGCGCGTTACCACTGGGCTACCACTGGTAAGTAAGTCTATGGTAAAAAATTATTCCACTTTAATAAAATTTTAAAGACAAATCAATATCACAAGCACGTAACCCATACTCTTATCACCTCTAGCTAATACCACATTAACATAAAGTACAAGGGTACCTACGTCAAATAGATCTCGTGGTAATAACAAGGCGCTACAATCAGAATCGAGGTCTATCATTGCAATAATAGCACAATTGTATCGGCTCCGAGGCTCAATCACAGGTTGTTTATATTTAATATGCAGTTTGATCATGGATACCGACACATAATGCATTCTTTGTTCAAACGTTACTATGGTATTAATGTCTAAGATCAAACGAATGGCATTTAATTATATTCGTAACGCACGTTTTTAATGTATGAACTATTATATGTATAGATTTGTAAGTTAAGTTTAGAAAGTCTATATAAAATTATTTTTTAAATTAATAGTTTGATCAACTCATAATTATTAAGGTATATGGTACATATGATGATTTTCATATACTAAACATATAATAAAATTGCAACTAAGCCGAATCTGTACATTAAAAACTGTTTAGATAATCTTATTGACATAAACATTATTATCGATACAGAGGCCGAATCTATAGTTTTTAGAAGTTTTGTCTGTCTGTCAAACAGAGTGATGGATTGGCGTGATTTTTTTGTGGAGATATTGGAAAGGCTGGAAAGTGACACAGGCTACCTATTACAGCGAGAGATTATCTCATTTTCACGGGAAAACACGTTATATTACAACCCACAATAACTCATCATACCTATGTCTATATACATATAATATAGTCTATTTATTCCAGACTAACCATTAAAGCGTATTTTATTCTATAAATTGGTTATTTGGCAACGGTTACTAAGTAGGTACTCGAGTGATGCAATCCCACGAAAAAATTATATTTTTTAATCTTTTACAATATTTAAACATACCTTAATTTAAAATATGAACAGACAGACAATCTCGCATAATTCTGTTTAATAAGAGAGCAAATATTATTTTCAAACGCTAAACATGAAATGTATGATACTGCAAGTGCGTAACTTCGTTCAGTGCGCTGCATTGAAGCAATTTGCTGATCGAAATTAATTGATTTATATGCGTCGTGTCCTTTATTGCACGTAGTGACGAACCACGTCCGCTAGAAATATTGTGCAAAAAATTATCTATACATACATAACAAATAAATAAAATTGAGATATTATCGTTTGTAACGTCAAAATAACAGCTTTTTACTCAATTCATATTAACATATATATGTACGATACTTGTAAGAAAAAAAAATATAATTTTTGTCTGTCTGTCCGTCTATCTGTCTGGATGTTTGTGCCTGTTGATTTCTGAAATGGCTGAACCGATTTTGACGGGACTTTCATTGACATATAGGCTAGCTGATGTTATAAAGAATAACTAAGGCTACTTTTATTTTAGAAAAAAAATTAAAACCCAAGAAATTATGAACAAAATCCGCGTACCTCCCTAGGTATATCCCGAGCGAAACGCAGGTAAGTCGCTAGTCTTCTAATAATTGTATCTAACTTTTTATTACTAAAAGATAATGTATTATATAAAAAATACAGTTATAAAATTTTAAAATTACAATAATACTTATGTTCCTATGGCAATTACTAAGTACTTGAGATAATGAGTACATTGCAAAGTACCTATGCCATACCATTTGCCTATTCAAATATCCTCGAGATAATTTAATATTTGCCTGACAAGCAGTAATTGTTGTATACATTGAAAACCTTGAATGAATCACGAAACAAAAATTAAATCAGATGTAGCTGTTAGTTAATATCAGTACATTTATTCATATTTTTTACACTCTCTCAGTGACATAAGTTTATTTGCGAGAGGAAAATGACAATGAAATTCAATTGCACACATTACTAGTGACCCACGTGCGGATCGCGACGAGTCGTTTATATAAATGACATTAATGGAGCAATGAATCGACTAAACGATGCGCGGGCGCATTCGATGCCGCTGGTGACGTCAGCGCACTTTACTTTGCTCGGATTTTAGGATTATAGAATTGTTTTACTTGCGTGTTTAAAGTATTATTGACATGAGAAGCATAAATAAAAATATGATTCATATGTTAGTTTATCACGTTGTTTTGAAATATTCGATTTAATTAGGCTTAAAGTATGTATATTACGGACTTGTTTGATGATATCTGGTTATAGTCTTTATTTTATCCACATCATAAAAATATGATTATGTATTTATACATACATATGTAACTTTACATATAAGAATATAATAATATACATATTTCATATATCACAGATCATATAAATTATAATACTCAATACTAGTCATATGCACTTTAAGTTAATTATTATTCGCAAAAACTTATTAAAAATCTCAGAATATATAGTATCATATATTAACAAAATTAAATTATTTTGACGACACGTTTGGCTCAGTTTGTAGTGACCCTACTTGCTGTGCCAGCGGTCGCGGGATCGAGTCCCGCTGGGGGCATTCATTTGTGTGATGAGCACGAATGTTTCTGCTCCAGTCATGGGTGTTTATATTTATAATATGTATTTATTTAAAGTTATATATGTGTAGTGTATTAACTATCTGGTATCCATAACACAAGCCTCGTAGCTTACCATGGAACTAGATGGTGCTGTGCGTTAAAGCCGCGGGCAATGCTAGTTATATTATATCATTATTATTATATTATATTATATTATATATCATATTATCAAATTTTGGTCTATAAAAGAGAACACAGCTCAGTGTGCAAGCTTGTATTGGCTCGTCCTGTCTACGCGCGTGGGGCCCAATCCGCTAATCCTATTTATATTACTGTGTCATTACCGCATTACACCCACCACAGCATCCGCGTCTGCTGCACCAACCTTGACAGGGGAAATTGCATTTTGTTATGATAATCATATAATCTTTCTAGTTTCATTTGTAATGTATATTAAAAAATACTATATCAACAAAGTCTCACTACGCTATGGATTCGAAGGGAACACTTAAGATTAATAAGAAGTAGTAAAATAAATTAAAGGTCATGGCAAAATTCGTTGACGAAAGCTAGAAGTAAAATATGGAAAAAATCATCTTATCGACATTGAATACTTATTTTATTTTATTTGGGAAACAATCATACAAAGTAATACAATTAAAAAACAAAACATAAAATATAAAACATCGACCAATCAAGTTTCCACAATTAAATAATACATAGCAAATACACACTGATAATTGATTTGTTCTTAATTTTATATTCATTCTTGAGCATTGTTTTAATAGGATCGAGTCCTTTTCATTTATGCTAAGAATTAAAAAAAAAAGTGGTGTTTTGAGAACTATATCAGTAATCAGGATTAGCCTCACAGATAATCTATTCAATAGACTTCTCACAATAATAAAATTAATCTAGCAAAAAATCGTCTTCAACTCCTTAGACATTGTTCTTATAAAAGATCTCACGCCATTCATATGTATGGATAAGATCACATTTATTCAGCTACTTATTTCATTAAAAATAATGAACAACGTAAAAGCTAAAGCGTTTTGTGATTGTACAAAAAACAATGCGATCGTATTTTTTGAGCATAAGCAAAACTTATTTCGTAGGTACTTCAATTTTACATTTGTCTTTAAAGGCGAGATTATCAACACCGGCAAAACACTTGAACAAATAACGTGAAAGACTCTTTGGGTAAGGCCGACGTATTCAGTGTCAGAAATGATCACTATCTCT